TGATGATGATGATGATGATGATGATGATGATGATGATGATGATGATGATGATGATGATGATGATGATGATGATGATGATGATGATGACGACGACCAGGTACTCGCACGACCTTGTGCCATTCCACCCATTTATTCCACGTGTACTTCCTGTTTGCAGCCACTAACCTGACAGCGGGCACGGTGTACGAAGTGGCGGTGTGGGCTCACACCAGCATCGGTGACAGTCCCACCGCTCTGTCCCATCACCAGACCACAGGCACTCAGCCGGAGAGACCCCTCCTCAAAACCAGAGCGCTGAACCAGACGGCGGTGGACTGCAGCTGGACCATCGGTGGACCGTCTGCCCAGGTACGACACACACCAGAACTATTTTTAAAGTCACATTATCAGTGCGAAACCCAGGCATCGCGCTGGCCAACAACGATCCCTGCCGATATGACATAGTTCTGCTAACGTTGGCCAATATTTTATTGGACATCCCTATGTTTAATCTAAGACACAAAATAGTTTATATTGATGTAAATGTAACCTTGCCCTAAATTTAACATAAAATCAGTGTATTTTAACCCAACATATGTTTGATTAGCGTTTAATTCTTTATTTCTTTTTAAATAAAATCTCACTCTTTTCATCCTGTTAAATAGGAAGAATAAATGTGATATGTATCTTATATCATGATGTTACAGAAAATTATTTTTGAATGATTTATATCAATTTAAAACACCGTTAACACACACACACACAGCGTACATTAAAGCTCAATGTGGACAGAACCTTGTCAGAAGGTCAAAGACATCTGACACATTCAGGCGTAAAAGTAAAACGTGACGTTTCATTCTTCATTTTCAGGCACATCACTCAACCAGAGAGTAGTTTAAAAAAAAAAAAAAAAAAAAAAAAGATTTTTCTTCTACACAGAATAAATGTCCTTGACACCGATTCATCACAAGTTTCTGCAAAGAAAGAGAGAGAAACGCCGACGCCAACAGACGCCAGCTCACTAAATATGCTGTGGGTCAGAGAACTGAGGAGGTCAAGGATAAATTCAGTGGTTCAAAATTCAGCATAAAGGCAGGATCTGTGAATATTTCTTGAATAGTAAAAAAAAAAAAAAAAATTAAATTCAATAAAAACATTTTCTTTCCTGATCTGACAGCCCACGTTTGGTCGCTAATTCAAAAGACAGATTGAACACTACGCCACCTACTGTACATCTGAAGACCACAGAGCCAGGACTCACACCCTAGGATGTTTTTTTTAAACGTGTTGTTTCGTGTGTGTGTTTGTACAGATGTACGGTGTGTTTTACGCCACCTCTTTCCTGGACCTGTACCGGAGCCCCCACATGGTCCACACCCCCTCTCTCAGCCTCACTGTCACGGTCAACAGTGATGAACAGTATCTGTTCCTGGTGAGTCCCCGTCAGCTGTTTCTGCTACAGCTACATCTCTTCTTCTACCTCTTCATCCTTTTTTTTGTGCTCATGTGGGCTTAGAGCAGGCGTGGTCAAACTACGGCCCGGGGACCGGATGCAACCCGTTTGGTTTTTTAATTTGGCCCATCAAACTTGTTCTAGTAATGTTATTAATTTATATTATCATTGTATGTCTGTGTTTTTCCTGCAATGCTCGCATTTCCCCAGTAGATGGCGTTGAAAAAGGCTAAAAGCCTTTTAGCATTTTAGCCTTCAAGGATGAATGTATCTCATTTATCTTAGTTCGCACCAACACTAAGAATGAATTTATCTCATTTATCTTACTGACCTGACCCAGCCCTATTGGAGCCATACCATCTATCTGCTCCTGACCCAGCCCTATTGGAGCCATACCAGCAGTCATCATTAGAGGGCAGCATACACTGTGTACAGTCCATCACAGGGGCCACAAATTGAGACAACCATTCACACCTGCATTCACACCTAATGTCCTCTTAGAGCAAGATGAACAGAGATGTGCCTTTTCACTCTGGTCTTTTGGTCGTCAAACGACTGCAGCTGTTTTAGCGCCACCTTCTGTTGTTTGTCAGATTACAGAACACTAGTATTGACCTCAGTTTTGCGTCCTCTTCCTCCCTGTCCTCAGGTGCGTGTCACCTCTCCGTTCTTTGGCCCCCCCTCCGACTACTCCGTCGTCAAGATGATTCCCAGTGAAAGGCTGCCGCCCAGAAACCTCCACCGCGTCCGAGTGGACAAAACACAGGCCACGCTGAAATGGCAGCCGCCGTACGACGCCCCAAACACACCCCTGGTACTGCCACACCTCACCTCACTGTGATGACACTCTGTAATGTCAGTGATGATCATGGCTGCCATGTTTTACTGGTGAATTGAACACCAGGTACAATCTGTTCTGAGCTGAAAACGGCGATTTCAGTGGCCTCTAGTGGTGGAGTGAAAAAAGTACAGTTTGCTATTCATTCAGACGAGAACTGCCTCAACTAACTGATGCTGAGCCCAAAAGTCTGAAGCTCAAATCTTTACAGTTGACTTTACTGTGGTTTGGTGTGAAATGGATCCTGGATTTCTATAAAGTTCAAGTCAACATTTACACAAACGTGTGTGTGTGTGTGTATGTGTCATAGACGTATGCTGTACACGTGCGGGATGTGATCCGGAAACTGGAGCGGGACTACAAGGTGACCACACAGAACAACACGGTGGAGTTCACGATGAAGGGCCTGGAGCCTGGAGGACGGTACAGCGTCTCCGTCCGTCTGCTGAACATGAGCAAAGAGGCCAGCTTCACCCTGAGCACAGGTAACACACACACACACACACACACACACACACTCTCATGAGGTCAGTGGTGGGGGAGGGAGGGAGGGGCATGTCTGAGGTGAGGAAGTGTAAACTCACCCAGACGGAGTTGAGAGTTTGTTATTTTCTCACTCACTGTACGTCACCAGTGGAGTGTATGTAAGCTAAGGATCTCCAACTCCTGGCCCGCGGGCCCTTTCTGGTCCTTGAACGCCCTATATATGGACTGTGACTTTTTAAAAAAAAATTATTTATTTGTTTGTTAGTTGGTCATTTAGAAATATTAAAAAAAGCAGTGGTGGCTTAGTGGTTAAGGAAGCAGACTTGGGTTGGGTCATGTTGTATTTTTTTTAATAATCTTTATGATCTTTAATGGATTGTAGAATGTATTTAAGCATTTTTAGCCAAAAAAAAGTATTTTCAGTACATGGACATGTACTTTCCCAGAAACGTCTTCCATGTGTTGAGTTTTGTCCTCTCCTCCTGTTCCAGTTCCTCTTCCTGCTCCTGAGGCCTTAAAGATCCTGACGGAGAAAGATCACGTCTTCCTGTTCTGGAAGAGTCTGGCCGTCAGAGAAAAGGACTTCAATGAGAGCAGGGTGAGTCAGAGACTACGATCTATAGTTAATCAGTCCTCCAGTTTTAATGGCAGTTTGTTTGGATTCCTGGATTTTTTTTTTTCAAATTAACTTGAACCATAATTGGGTAAAAGAACTGTTTTAGTTTTCCCTGAGTGAGAAGTAGAGTCACATTCTCTCAGAGCTCCGCACAAACTGACCTCTTTCAACCACTGAAAGTGTCACACCTCTGGTGTTCTGTAGCAGTACTGCAGCTAAGCAAAGAGGTTAAAAGAAGTTGTAATGTATACAAGTGAATAAATAAAAGATAAATAATACATTTTTGAATCATGATGAAAAGCCATTCATCGGGTTTTCAGACATCAGTGAACTTACTGAGCACAACAGGTCTGTGTTCAGAGGTGTCACAGTTAGCATCTGCTGATTCTAACACGGCACTGAGTGTTGTTCTCTTTCACTGTGAGCACAACAGGCCTGTGTTCAGAGGTGTCACAGTTAGCATTGTTAGCATTTCTTTGGCTTATCGTGATTTTATGTTTTGCATTATGAGCAAACAAACTGTACAAACTGTGACAGAATAATGTCGCGGCCAAAGTAGTAAATACGTCATTAGTGGAGTTTTTCTGAACTTTTCCCTCCGTTCAGGGGTACGAAGTGCACGTGTACGACAGTGTGACCAACCAGACGACCTTCCTGGGAAACACCACAGAAACGTTCTTCCGCATCAACAGCCTGCTGATGCGTCACAACTACACCTTTTCAGTGCAGGCGCGCTGTCTGCTCAGTGGACAGTTGTGTGGAGAACCTGCCCTGCTGCTGTACAACCAGTTCACCGCAGGTACTGTGGAACCACAGCACGCTGAAATGTGATCAGTAACCAAAAAAAATATATGTATCAATATATACATATATGTGTAAAAATATACTGTATATATGTGTTTATATATATACATTAGGTCTGTAGAATCTAACACATTCATTCCTACTGATGTAATATATGTATATATTAATAAATATATGTATGTATATATATATATTTATGCTATATATATAGCATAAATATATATGTGTATATATACTATATATATATATATACAGTATATTAGGTCTGTAGAACCTAACACATTAATTTCTACAGACTTAATATATATTTATATATTTTTAAATATATATACATATATGTACTATGCATGTATATTATTATTTTAGGTCTGTAAAAATGAATGTGTTAGTTGTGTTAAATATTTTTAAAGATTTTAAAAGATCTTTACACGTGGACAGAATGACTGTAGATCTGAAAGATTCCACCGTTGTTTCTCTAACACAGTTGATCCACACGTCAGTACACACTGGGGGTTTTAAATACTGTCCCCTCCAGCAGGGGGCTTCATCTTTCGGTCAGACGCCTCAGATCAAAATCACTGAACGCGGGACAGTAAATACTTCAAGGACTGACAGGCTGACTGACAGAAACGTCAAACGGATTGTTAGGGAGCGCAGACTGATTAATATTGTTGAGGACAGCGGCGTCTCAGAAGTTTGGAAAGAAACTCTTGACTCGTTCTTCAAGACACGAGAGACAAGAAAAAAAAACACAGTTATTGGTTTAAAAAGTTAAACTTCCTTGTTTAACATTTTCTTGGATTTTTCCCATATATTCATATTTTCATCATTTGGACAAATAAAAACAGGTGTGAAAGTCAAACCCTCGTCAGAAGTGATCGTCACGAATCATAAAAAAGTTGTTTATTCAGGTTTAATTCACAGCTGGACCTGAAATAAATCGGACTAAAATCTTGAATAGTTTTAGACAAGCCTGATTTTTTTTTTTTTTTTTGTGTGTGTGTGTGTGTGCAGGTGCCACAGACGCGGCTCTCAGGGAGGGTCAGTCTGGAGACATGGCAGCTGTGGTGGTTCCTGTCCTCTTCCTCCTACTCCTGGGAGTGTGCGGCAGCCTGGTGGCGCTCTACATCAGACATCGAAGGCTTCAGAACAATTTCACAGCCTTTGCCAACTCCCACTATAACTCTCGTCTGGGCTCTGCCATCTTCTCCTCCGGGGACGAACTGGGTAAGACTTTTCTTCTTTTTTTTTTTTTTTACTTTTCCTTCAATATTAATGGTGAGGAAGCGGAGCAGGAGCTCCGGCTCAGCGGGACTCAGGATTGGCCGATGAGAAGTCACGACTCACTTCCACATAAATACAGTTATGAAATACTGACGCCCAGAGCCAGAACAGAGAAATCCGTTTTATGAGCAGAGGTTTTTTTTTTTTTGAACTAATCAGACTCAGAACAACAGCAGTCTGAGCTCAATTTCCCTCTTTTACAGTTGATTTTGATCTAAGTTTGTCTTTGGAGAACTAGAAAGATGTAAAAGTCCGATCTGACGCCTGGATTCTGCAGGTGTCCTACTGATACAGAACCAGGACCAAAGACAGAATAAGCAGATGATGTCTGGTCTGAGGCGCTTGATATTTTTTTTTTTTATCGAAAACTTTTTGATCATTCTTGAAAGTGAAAAGAAAATCAAAGATAGAAAGAAAAACAGCTGCGGGCCGTGAACATTAATTCTGGTCGTTGTTTCTGAGCTGCTCTCACACTGGTGAGAGACGATTCGGCCTCTGTATGAAGGGCTACCAACACACTTTGAGCTAAAACTCCACCTATTAGTCATGAAAACAAAAACCTGTGGTCCTGACTGGAGCGTGTCCTGGTTTCATCTCAGTCTAATTCTCTGGCTTTACATTTAAATACAAGATTGAATTAATTAATACAAGTTTTACATCAACCAGCAATTTTCTTTCTACTTTCACTCAGAGACAACCTGATTTAATGCAGAAGAAAAAAGAGAGTAAATACAGACAGAGGGCAGTGTTGATGTAATACCCATTCTGTCCAGTAGGAGCATAAACATATGTGAGGTCACACAGCAGAGACGTCAGACTTTGATTTTCCTTCTTCCGTCCTTCCTCAGGCGACGACGACGAAGACGATCCGATGATCAGCGGCTTCTCCGACGACGTTCCCATGGTCATCGCGTAGCAGCCCCTCCCTCCACCCACCT